TGTTCTTGGTTGTTTAAGATCTTGATCTATTAGTTACTCTTCTTCTGTGTTATAACAGAATGATAAATCTCAGGATTTACTTAATGGCATTGGATCCTGCCCCAGTGCTAAATGACATCCAACTTTTAACATTTTTGACTACATATTTCTTCTTTTGAAGGTTGGGCAATCTACTTCAATCGTGTTACCACCTTGGAAACCCAAGGAGGGGTCACTATGAGTCAGGTTTGACTCAACAGCACATAACAACAACAATAACAACATATAGTTTTTAAATAGTTTAATATACTTTAAGTGTAAAAGTTTTTATTCTTTATTTTTACCTTGGGGAGAATGGGTAATATCTTCCTCAGTTCCAATATGTCAGCAGTTACTTCTTATACAACTTTGGAATGCCTTGTCTTTTATTTGCTGCTTCTAATCTGTAATGGGTTGGGAAGTAGAATAATGAAGCTTGTACTAATCAGGTAGAATAAGAATAAATAGATTCTGAGTTAGTTCTGTGGCATTTTGCTATAAGAAGAGTGCATGGGCTTTATACATCACCGACCTCAGCTTTTGATACCACTTCTGTTTGTTTCCTGGTTATCTGTCCTGCCCTGGATAATTGAGATTGTGAGATATGTAATCTCCATAGAAATGAAATTTATACTGTCTTAAAATTATGTGCATTTGGTATACCATAGTAGAGGGATACTTAGGACTCAAAGAAAACCTTGGGAAGTGATTAGAATTAACTTCTGGATTATAGTCTTTGTCATTTTTTGGGAGGTGGGTAAAATTGAGTTACATAGACTCTGGGTTACCATCATGCTAAAATTCACTGAATTGAACTATGTCAGGAGTAGGTTCAGGAGAAGGGCTCCTTCCAATACCTCTATCAAAATTTATACCTTCAGAAGACTCAGCAGAGACCCTTTGTCAAGTATAGAGGATGTGGAATTCTTTAGACAAGTGTCTCCCTTTTGAAACAGGGGTTTCTTTCTGTTTAACTTGTAACTATGGCAAGGGGAAACTTAGATTTCATTCACGTACATTAATATCCTAAGAGAGAAGTGAAACCCAGGGCTGGGGTTCCAAACCACAGCAAGCTGGATCAATTTCCCTGGTTGGGCAACTACACAGCCACCCTCCTGCCACACCATTCCCATATGGCTCTCTTAGTCATTCTTGTGGCCAGTTGCTTTGTTTGAAACTATGGTTCCATTTTCTAGTTTGCCATCTATAAAAGTTGTGAAAACGGTCACTTCCATTACTGTTGTTTGTAGGTGCCATCATATAGGCTCTGACTCACAGTGACCTTATGTATAACATAATGAAACATTGCCCAGTCCTGTGCCACCTTCACAGTTGTTACAATGTTGAGCCCCTTTTTGCAGCCACTGTGTCATTCCATGTGTGTTCCAACCTGAGAAACTCACCTTTTAGCCCTAGGGATAACGGGACAATGTTGTGTTGCTACCCAGGTTTTCATTGACTAGTTTTCAGAAGCAGATCACCAGCCTGTTTCCTAGCCTGTGTTTGGAAGCTCTGCTGAAACCTCACCATGGGTGACTCTCTGGTATCTGAGATACCAGTAGCGTAGCTTCCAGCGTCATAGCAACACACAAGCTACTGTAATATGACAAACCGACATACCAGTGGTGGCCCATTACTATACCTATAACTACCACTTGCTAGGTCCCTGTTAAATTCCAGGGAACCCTAGACACTACATAATTCTCATTTCATCCTCCCAATGCCCCAGTGAAGGAGATGGTACTATAAATAACAGGTCCAGTCGACCAGTTGCTGTTGAGTTGATTGTGGCTCATGGTGACCCTGTGTGTGCCAGAGTAGAACTGTGCTCCGTGGGGTTTTCAGCGGCTGATTTTTCATAAGTAGATCACCAGGCCTTTCTTCTGAGATGCCTCTGGGTGGACTTGAACCTCCAATCTTTCGATTAGCAACTGAACATGCTAGCTGTTTGTACCACCCAGGCACTGCATATGAAATAAAATACATGGAATGCTATTAGCACAGTACCTGAATCCCTGTGACATTTCACAAGGATATGAGGCCAATGGAGGCATGGAAGAGTTTTTGTCAGTTGTGTTCATTGCTGTGTCATCATGGCCTAGGATAGCGCCTGGCACAAAGCAGGTGCTCAATAAATGTTTGTTGAATGAATGATAAATTTTAGTTGTTAGATATCCTGATTTTTTACAGATTAACAAATTAAATCTTGGAGAAGCTTAGTAATTTAGCCAAATCACAGCAGGAAGTGGCAGAGTCAGGATTAGAACTTAAATCCATTTTGTCCAGAGCCTGAGCTCTTCGCCTCTCTGTTGCCTTTCCTGACAAGAAAGAAGGAATTGGTAGATGTCTGTTAAGCCTCTGTGTTTGGTGGGGGAGGAGGGCAGGTGTTGGGTATGTGACGTTTGTGAACCACCTGGTTGGGAAGGTGGCCTTGCCCAGGTGAACTGGAGCTGGGATGCCAGGTGCCTTTCTCTGCCTCCAGGGCAATAGTAGGGCCTGCTGGC